TATACACATCAATTCACATTTCATTCTCATAGAGCGCTGCAAGACAGGTATAACAACCACACTGAAACCATGATGAACCAGGGAGTCAGTAAAACTGTATGTGTCCAAGGTCAATAGCCAAGCCAAGTGAGAGCCAGTTTCAAAGCCATAACTGTCTGTTCTTGAACTTTGCAGTGTTCAAACACAAATATGGAATGAATTGAGTTCAACAACTAAGCTAAACTTAATCTTCAAGGGAACAGCTAAATTGTACATTGTTTTCACCCAAAAACTGCTCATCAGGCAGACCTCTACAATGTCCATGGCTTTAATCTATGGTTCAGAGCCAGAATTAGTCTTTAGGACTAGTCAATTAAGTTGGAGCCCCTCGACACATATCAGAACATTAGGTAAGTGACCTGAAATTATGATAACTCTAAGTTACCCCAATTAAGGTATTACTAAACTAAGACAACTGGTTGTCCCACAGTAAAGCCTTAAGCATACTAGACACCATGAAAAGAGAAATGAAAGGAGCACCCGAATTAACAATAAGACATTCTTATTTCATACATTCTGGAAAAGAAAAAATATTGAGTGGGAAAAATAAAGCAGTAATTGATGATGACTTTAATGTTGTTATGACTGTGTATTAAGTAATTTATAGACAAGAAACAAAAATTAACATCATCTGTGAAACTGAAGGACTTACAATATATGTCAAAGAAAAGAACAAACAGTAAACTAGTGAACAAGTCAGTACAAGCTGAGAACAGGGAAGTCTAACATGTAGTGCAAATTAAACTGGAACACATGCTAAGGAAGAGGCAGAGACAATCGATGCCAACTAACAGAAAGCAATGACACTGGAAGCACACTGACCCCTGGGAGTGGGCACAGATGTACAACCATCACTCGCAGGCACTCTCCTTGCACAGGATATGTTTTATAAATGCTATAAGGGGGAAAAAATGGTCAACACTAAATGTCTGTTCTGAGTTGGTAAATTCTGATGAAGGCTGATCTCTTTATTGCAGGAAAATCTGCCATATAAACACTATCTCTCATGGAAGAAAAGCAAACTCTTGGTATTACTCTATCTATGTGTATGTGTATGTGGGCCAAAGGAGTGCATCAGTTCAGGATAAACTACAGTAAGCCCCAACTTACGAACAAGTTCTGTTCCAGGAGAACGCTCATAAGCTGGATTTATTTGTATTTCTGACAAAGTCAGTTCTATACACCTTTAACACAACTATACAATATAAAGCATTTAACAAACCAACCACCCCACACACACGCTCACACGCACATACTGTAAATAAACTCCTATTACTTTTATGCACAGTAAGCACAAAGCAGCACCACTGTGACAATGTCCAGGAGACATGTGAACGACTTCCATGATCTGCTTGCATCTACGCGTGTTGTAGTACAAGATCTGCTGGTGGTGTGACAGTTAGCAACTTGAAGGTTCATAGGTTGGGGACTTTCTGCACCCTGCCTGGCTCCTGTGTTGCTCCTTGCAGACTCCATGACCTCCTCACTCTTGGATCAAGGGAGAAGGATCACTTCAGTGACATGAGGTACATGTCAAAGACATGCAAAAGGCAGAACCGGGCCACCCTACCAGATTCTGCTCAGAAAAGGCACAAACTAATCATTTACATTTCACTTGCAATATAAGTCTTAAGGTCAAGCCAGCCATGAATATTTTGTCTTCGCAGAGTGGGAGAAAGTAACTCTCTCACTGAATGGAGGCAGGGTAGAAAGAATAGCAAATACTGTGCTAATAATATAAGCTACCACAAAAGAAATGGAGTGTTGCTTGAGCAGAGCTCCTTTCCTGTAATGAGGTGTCCTGTTCTAAGCAGCAGTCCCTCTACTCCATGGGTCTTCATACTGTTCTCTTAATCCCTCACATGCTATCTCACTGTATTCCAACAGCCTTAGGCCCCAGGACTTGCCCATGACCCCAGAGTGCTTGCACCAGACCTCCAAAGCTCACTGTCTTACTGTCTTTGGCAGGTCAGTCTTTGAGGCCTCCATTTCACCTAAAAAGAGTGAACATAATAGGCCTCCTAAGGCTGTGGAGACATTATAGAAGGAAGCATTATTATTAAGTGACATGCCTCCACCCACATCTTTCTCAAATTTTCTTTATTTCTTCCCAAAGTAAGGAAAAGAGCAAACGAAGATATTAGCAGTTGTTCATTTAAAGTACAGTAGAGTTTCCAAGATGGCTCCCAGTTAAGAACAATTGAAGGGGCTCTGAATAAACAACCCCTTATCCTCCATCTCCTGTCCTTCTTTACTTGCCCATACTAAACTACAGATCTAGCCCTAACTCTCTTTGAAGGTCCTGCCCAGACACTAGGATAAGTGTACCATGAAGGATACATACAGGTGTTCAACCTGGCATACTTTATGAAAATGAAAAGCTAAAAAGAAAATGAAAAACTAAAACCAGCCAAATTGCCCAGTTACAGAGAACACTATAAATTATATCTACACAGAAAGTTATATAACAAATAAGGTATACGCAAATAAATGCAAATAAGGTATATGTATTATGTTTTGATGTGGCATTATTTCAATACATTGACAGGTTGAGTAGATTACAAAACAATAGTTAAACTTGATTGACCTTGGAGGGAAAAGGGTATGTTTCTAAGTTAGGAACAGAAAGCAGATGGCAAAGTACAAAAACGCAATGTCAGTGGTTACCTCTCAATAATGTTAGTACTGTGTGTTTAATAATTTTCACATTTTCAGCATTTCCAATTATAGTTAAATTTTATAATTTAATCAAAGATACTAGTCATCTAATATTCAAAATTCAAATCTGCTCTGCTCCTGAGATCTCCCCTCAGCCAACCCACTTCTCTTGCCCTCCAGGTGACATGTCTGTCTCTCTCCTACGCACTGTATACATTTCTCACAAAATCCATTACATTCAGACTTAAGTTAGGTTTCGTGTTCCAGGCTTAATTACTGATTCCTAAAGTAGAAACACCCTATTTTATTTCTACTATAATGCACCCTCAAAATCCACAATTCTCAAGTAACTATCAAGCTGTTGATCTCTATCCATATCATTAATCTCAATATAATGGAAGGCTGTAAAATGTACACACTTGAGGACTACCCAATTTTCTCTAATCAGAAATTGGCTTACAGTTAGGATATTGAGAAACAATTCAAGTCCATTTGGGGGAAAGAAATGATACATAAATGAGAATATCTTACTTGTGGTAAAATTTCTCCACTGTATCTTACTGCTTTGCTTTCAAAGTCACTCAAGGCACCCTCAATCCCCCTAAGTCACAGGGCAATGCTTTATGATCCAGGCTGGCCTCTCAGATTTTAACCATAAAGTTCTGCATGAAATGTACAAGAATTTTACAATACTCCAATCACTACCTGACTCAGTGGGAACTAGAAATAACTTTTAAGAGGGAAGTAAATATTTTAAGGTTTTAAAGCCTGATTTAGGGAATATACACAAATGAATATTTTGAAATATCTGAAGCATTTTTTAAGGTTTAATAAAGAAAGTATCTTGAGAAGTAGATGTGTGAGATTTAAAATGCAAACAGCCATCACAATTGTAGCTATTTCTTAGCAGTTTCAGGCTTCCGCTATTGTCTTATACAGGGCAAATTAAAAAGACTAAAGAAGCTGCTTCTGTCTTTTTATTTAGTTTTTGGTGCTGGGGATTGAACCCAGGCCTCAGCAAACAAGTGAAGTGCAGCATCTCCAAGCTACATCACCATCTCTTTTTATTTTTTGAGTCAGGCAGGGTCCTGCTAACTTGCCCGTGCTGGCCTCTAAATGCCTGCCCTCCTGCCTCAGCTTCCCAGAGAGCTAGGGTTACAGTGCCTTTGTGCACTATGGCCCCAAGTGAAGGAGATGCTTCTTGAAGAAACAATGAAATAACTAACCCAATTTTCTTCTTTCCTCCTTTTACTGCCAAGGTTTTAATCAAGCCAACATGAACTTTAAGCTGCCCAGGCTTTATTTTTTAATAAATACCATTTACTTTTTCTTAAAACTTAATTTTTTAATCAAAAGCAAAGCAGCATGCAGTAGCTTGGTCAGGAGGTAGCCTGGCTGCTTAAGCCTCCAACAACTCATGTGAAGGAACTCAGATCTGAGGGAATATGGAGGAAGAAAGAGAAGAACGCTCAAAAGGTAGCAGCCATCTGGCCCATCTCTAAATATTAATCCTTACCAGCCAAAAGGCCAAAGGATTCTAGGGTGTTACAGAGCTGAGTCCACTCAACAATGCCACATACATTCTTAGTCAAAGAAATTTAAATTCTACAGTGGTCCAAACACTTACCATCAGTATGAGAAGCCAAGTAAGACAACCACACGTATTATCATAACGAAACAAAAATCAGGTATATGTTCACTGTCAGTTACTTAATGATGGGGATTGGGACAGTATAAGTAAAGAACTCAACTTTAGATATTCACCAAGTTTGTATTTATTTCTAGAATTCACCCACAAAAATTACCTGACAAATGGGACGAAAGGAACCACTGGGATTAAGAGAGTATTTCAGATGGGCCCTTACAAATTTAATTTATTTTTTTTTAATTTATTTTTTGCATTTTAGGGAAGGGTCTATAGGGTGTTCAGGGTCTCAGTACTAGATTGGCCTCATAGTGATCCACCTGTTTACAGCCTCCCAAGAGCTGAGGTTACAGGGGCATGCCACCATGCCCTGTCTCTACAAATTTAATTTAAATGGTGATTGGATACAAGCAATCATCTTTTAATTCTTCAAAGACTTTTGATTTATGCCCAAAAAAAAAGTGCAAAAAAGGCACACTTATAAGAAGAATTAATGCAAATGAAAAATTCCTCCAATGTTAACATCAACTTTCCAAAGTTTGTGTATTTGCTCTTAAAACACTTTGTCTTTTACTATTAAGTTATTTGATTTAGATGTCTTTAGGTAATTAACCCAGTAGGTAAAGAAATTCCAAAGAGCTACTGAAAATTTACTTACAGATTATGCAAAACAATTCTTGTCATCTTGGCTTTCTATAAGATACCAGCTTCTCCCATTGTTCCAGTACATTCCCATCACCTGTCATGAGGGAAAACAGTCTGATTAGCTACAGGTCTTCATTGCTATATTAGTTTTTTCTTTCTTTATACCAAAAACAGAGAAAAATAATCATCTATTTTTTCTTTAAAAGAACAGTGACATAGAAAAGTCCCCTAAGGAGAGTACCCTAAGGCCTCTGCGTGAGACAGAAGACGTGGAGCAGCACCCCACATGTGTTGGACCAATCCCAGGGAACCCAGCGCAGGGTACAAGAGGGAAGCACAACACAAGGTAGCAGAGGCAAAGAATAGACTGACCCCATTCTGGATGAAGACAGCATCTGGGGAGAAAGGGCACTGTCAGATGGCATGCATGTCAACACTAAGCCCAACAGCTCAATTCCAACAGACTTCTCAACAAAAACCTTAAAGGCCAGGAGAACTTGGAATGAACCTTTCTTGCCCTAAAAGAAAACAATTTGCAGCCCAGCTGACATAGCCTGTAAAACCGTCTTTCAAAATTGATGGAGACCCAGGAGATAGCTCAATGGCATAAGTGCCTGCCTGGCAAGTGCAAGGTCCTGAGCTCAATCCCAGGTACAAAAAAAAAAAATCAAAATTGATGGAGAAATAAGGTGTTTTCATGACAAAGAGCACCTAAAAACATTTATTACAACCAAATCAGCCCTCCAAAAAATTCTCTGGGAAGAGACAATTAAGCCAACAATGACAAAAAGTCTAAGTCAAGCAGTTAAGTTGAAGGAAAAGACAAGAAATCAACAATATGAAAAAAAGGCAATAATAGGAATAAATCAATACCTATCAGTACTAATTCTCAGTATAAATGGTATCAATTCCCTAAGCAAGAAAAATGAGCAGAATGAGGAAACATCTAACATTATATATACAAGAAAAACACTTAATCTTAATGAAAGTCCCAATTTAAAAAAATCAAAAGATGGAAAACAATATTCCACGCAATAGGACCCTCAGTAAAGCAGATGAAGCTATGTTATGTTCACATGAAGTTGACTTCAAGACAAAACAAATCAAAAGAGGCAAAGAAAGTTGTCATATATTGGTTAAAGGAACAATCCAACACAAAGAAGTAACAATTATTAATATATATGCACCAAACAACAATGCACCCAACCTCATAAGACAAATACTAGTGGACATAAAAGAGCAAATGGACATAAACACAATTATAGTAGGGGACCTCAGTATCCTACTAGCATAGATAGATCGACTAGAAAAAAAAATCACAGTTGAACTAAACCTTTAAATAAACAGACTTAACAGTTATCTACAGAGTACTGTACCAGAAGCAAAAGAATAAACATTCTTTTTCCAACACATGAAATTTTATTTAAAATAATTCAATATTAGCCAAAATGTCAGCTTGAAGTAAATGAAAAGAATTGAAATTATAGCATGCAAATTGTCAAACCATAGCAAAATGAAGTTACAATCAATGGCAAAAAAATACAAATTATGCAAATAAATGGAAATAAAAGCATACACTCTTAACTAAAAGGATTCTGAAAGAAATTAGGAAATAAATATGACAAGTTCTAGAATTAAATGATGTCAGTACAACATAGAAGTCCTAAGAGGGAATTTTATAGCTGTGAATGCCCACATCACAAAAATAAAGCAAATTCAAATAAATAACATAACAATATACCTCAAGGTCTTAGAAAAACAAGAACAATACAAACCAAAGCACTACAAGTAAGGAAATTATAAAGATCTGAGCAGAAATAAATGAAATTGAGACTAAAAAACAATACAAAGAATTAATGAATCTAAGAGTTGGTTCTTGCAATGAATAAACAAAGTAGACAAACGCTCAGCCAATCTAACCCAAAAAGGCAAGAAAAGACCCAAATCAAATCAATTACAAAGGAAAAAGATGACATCACAACAGATATGGGTAAAATTTTTTTAAAAATTAAGTATTTTCAAATCTGTGTGCTAATAAATTGTAGAACATAGAAGAAATGGACAAATTCCTGGATGCATATGAACTACCAAAATTGAACCAAGAAGATTTAAAAACCCTGAACAATCCAATAAAAGGCAATGAAATGAAAGCAGTAATAAATACCTTACCAACTGAGAAAAGCCCAAGTCTGGATTGGTTCACTGCTAAATTCTGATGTGGTGTTCTTTTGTTTTGTTTTGCTCTGGTTTGCTTTGGTTTTTAGTGGGGAAAATACCAGAAATCAAACTAAATAGCTCGTACTTGCCAAGCAACTCCTGCATGCGCTGCTGAGCTACTCACCCAGCCAAATTCTATAAAAATTCCAAGAAATGCTAATACCAATACTCCTCAAGCTTACTAATGAAACTGAAAGGGAAAGAGCTTCCTATAAATCATTCCTGGAAGCTAGCATTACCCTGGGTCCAAAACCAGACAAAGATTCAACCAAAAAAAGAGAACTACAGACCAATCTCTTCAATGAACATAAATGCAAAAATCCTCACAAAGATACTGGCAAACAGAACACAGTGTACTGGTGCAAAGATCACACATCACGACCATGTAGGTTTCATTTCAGGGATTGAAGGATGACTCAACATTTGCAAAACAATAAATGTTGTACGTCACATAAATAGAAGCAAGTACACGAAATACCTTTGTTCATTTTCTCCAATTCCTTTCTCTGCTCTTCAACCTGTTCCCCTCTTTATTTATAAAAACCATTAGAGAAATGCAAATTTAAAACACTGAAATTCCATTTTGCCCCAGAAACAATGGCCATCATCAACAAATCAAATAAAAACAAACACTGGAGAGGCTGCAGGGAAAAAAGAACCCTTCTGTACTGTTAATAGGAATGCAAACTACAACCCCCACTATGAAAATCACTATGGAGATTCCCAAGAAAACTAAAACTAGAAGTTCAATTTACCCAGCTACTCCCCCTATAGGAATCTTCTTCAAAGAACTAAAGACATTATGTTACAGAGATACATGAATAACCATGTTTACAGAAGCACAATTCATAATAGCTAACTACTGGAAGTGGCTCATACACCCATCAGTAGATGAACAGATAAAGGAACTGTGGTACTTATATACCAGGGAGTACTGTCCTGCCATAAAGAGGAATACAGTTGAGTCACTTGTAGGAAAACATATGCACCTTGAGCCCATAATGTTAAATTAGACATACAAGCTTAAATATCACATTATTTCACCCATATGAGAAAACCAAAATAAAAATCAAAGAGCAAAATAAAACACCTCTAGGAACTAAGGAGATGGATCATTTAGAGGGAAAAGAGTCAGAGAGGAAGCAGAGAAAGGATAAGGATGAAAACAAAGAATTGGGATGTGTTATATACAACCCACAAAAAGAATGTGGACATTATGTACTGGAAATATATAAAAAAATAAAATAAAATAAACAAAAACATCAACAAAGAAAGGGGATTATGGGATGAGTGGACAGGGAAGGGCAAGAAGGGACAGATGAAAAATGGAATTAAGAGGTGTTATGTACCCACTTCCCACACAGAATGTAAGTATTATGCATCCCCCCCCCACACATATATATAATAAATTAGAACAATTTTAAAAACATCACAGACAGAGGGAGTGGAACAGAGGGAAGGGATAAGGGGATGAATAAAGAGCTGAGATTTGTTACAAACATGAACCTACTCCCCACTAGGTATGTAATTATTATATTTGTAAACAAATACTAATAAAATTTTTTTCAAGTTAAAGAAAAATGTAAACAGCATAGTACAGGTAGTGAATCCTTGAGAGGGCCTCCAGTGCATCTTCAGGATGAGAACTGCAGTCAGTTCCAAGGAAGGAGCAATGTGACAGCATTGTTCCCTCTGTACCCCCTCCCCACTTCTATCCAGAAGGGAGCAGCCATCGGCCTGGGAGCGTGAATGGAAGCAAGCTCAGAGCGCAGGTACTGCGCTGGGCCGGGGGCAAGAGCCTCCAATTCTAACCAGAGGCCAGCTCACTGCCACAGAGCCAGTCCTAACTGTCTGCTAGGGTGGAACCAGTGCTCTATTTCCAGAAAAGGAGATACTCACATTTTTAAGTTTTCTATGCCTTCTTTATCAGCAATTAAACTACTAGTTAGGATGATTGTCACCTGAGTACTTGCTTTATTTCTCAGCTTATTTAAAATGTAAGGCTAGGACAGATGACTACTCAAAGCAACACACAGCCCTAATATCTGCTGAAGGACATCATGCAGATAAATAACCTTGGTCTAAAATCTTATCACTTACTAGCAAGGAAGCCTCTTCATTTCTGAAAAATAACCAATGTTTTCTACTACTTTGTGTGGTAGCAGGATTAAAAGAGGAAACATGTAATCTGCTAGTCGAGCACGCTTTGGTTTAGCAAAGGTGCTCCCTCTCCCAGCACCAGGTCCGCCCAGCACTTAACTGCTATAGTCCGAACTTCTACGCTGTCCTTAGTCCTGATTCACTAATACCAGAGATTTACATAAATTCAGAGCAAGAGAACATGGCCGGAAAGGACCTTTCTTTTTTTTCTCAGTGGAAGTCCTTCAGAGCAATGTTTTACTTTTTTTTTAAATTTTGTAACATTTTAGGGTCAACAAACTAGGGCTAAAATTTTCTGCTTTCGTTTTCATTGAAAAGTCCCAAATAAAAACACTCTATTTATAACCACTTAAATGCAACTACTGCTCAGTTTATGTGAAAATCAGAAGGCCCCAACTGGACAGAAAAGATAAAAAGAGAAACATTAGTTAACTTTCATCTCTTGAGCCCCTAAATTAATTTAGACAGATTTGTAACAACTTGAACTTGACTCCATCCACTTTTATCTCAAGACAGAATCCTCAAGTTCTCCAAACCATGATGGGAGAAGAACCCACTCAGACAGAGGGTGATGGAACGAACACCACTCAGAGTTTCCCTGGTAACAAAGAAGGACCTGGCAGCATCAATAAAAATACCCAGGAGGGACAGACGCCTCCGAGACTTTGCACCCAACATGGAGAGGGCCATGCTCACTGGTGAAGTGTGGTTTTAGAT